GCGGACAGCTTTACAATACATTCTTATTTTAGAACACTTCATTTAGGTCACAAGTGAGCTGAGTTTTTTTGCTAAAAGCGTTATACATGCGAGCTAAAAGCAGTATACATGCTAGCTAAAAGCGATATACATTCTGGACTGATCATTCGCAGATCACTGGGCACATTAAGGAATAAAATTAGACTAGTATTAACCTTTCACACACACAATCGCAGCCATGGACAATATGGAGGATTCAATCATCTGTCAATGTAATGTGCCAGAGTTTGTAAACATGGAAGGAAGCCGGTGTACCTGAAGAAAATCTACACACAAAAAGAGACACAAACACACAAAGTCCACACGGGAAGGCCTAAAGCTGATGAAGAAAATTTCGTGAAACGTCCATTCCTAATAGCCGAGATATTTATGCAACATTTTTGGGGGCGGTTTTGTTTCACTTTATAGTCCCGTCCAATACATTCGTCAAAGCGCTCCAAGAAAATAGAGCAGAAATGCACTTCCTTGTTATTTCATCATTAAAGAGCAGTTCACAGATATGATTTACTCCTGAAGACAAAACTGTCAAAAGAATGCTACCAGTCCGACAGATACTGTTCTTGACTGCTGAAGTGGAACATTGCCCAAATGATGAGGCCACGCCGCCATTAGGGTGATAATGAGCCCAAACTAGCACGCACACATACAATGTGAGCCATGAGACAATAGAAGTGTAAAAAAAAACAAAACAAAACAAACATTCATTGTTTTACACTCCATGTCCCACAATCTCAAGTATTTCTTTATTCCATGACGGCTCTAACGCTAATAAGCAAATGCCATCATTGCTCTCTCACATCTCTCTCAACTCGAAAGACATTTCAATAAATGTTCACAAGAAAACATAGTGAAACAAAAACACAATCCCGCTTCAGTTACTGTTTAGGTTGGGAGGAGTTTGTATTGTGAGTTTCAATGTAAATTCCAGGACATTCAACACACCCATGTACTTATCTGCAACACATTATGTGGTGCTAAAGCAACATATACACAGACAGACAAAAAAAGCAGGGTATGTAAGTTAACAATCAACAGTAAAATATTCAAACTTAACGACATGCATTTATCAAAAATAAACTGTCCGAAATAAATATCGTGACTTTCGATTCACTGGCTTTCATCAACAGTCTTGAGTAAAGCTCACAATGTCTCTCCTCTTTCATTTATAACTGCTTCAAACATCAAGGCATATAAGGTAAGATAAGAAAGATATGAAAACCTTTATTTGTCTCACAATGGAGAAATTCCATGTTTTATATTGTGTTCTGTTCTATTTCTTTTTATTTTATGTTCAATGTTCTGTAAAGCGCTTTGTTACAACTGCAACAATTGTGAAAGAGCTATATCAATAAAGATATGTATTCTAATGTATACCAAGTAGCCAATAACAACTGCTTCCAATGTTTTGTTCCACTATTTGCCAGAGCGAGTACTTTGAAGTTCTGGAAGCAAAAGATGAAAGAGCCCCTCCAGCCACTGTTAACCAGCCGAGGACACATCAACGTGTACATTAGTGGATCGTTTACATTTTGCCATATTAAATTCATGATCTAAGTATAATACCTAATTCATTGTAAATTGTTGAGACAATTCGACTCACGTGTAGTTGGACGCTTTCTTTTTTCCTGCTACGTTAGCTTTGTAAAACTGACCTTGGATCAGAATTGGCCCTCGTTGTGCATTTTCCTCTAAAATGTTTTTACTATTATTATTTTATATCCACCCAATAAGTCCTGTGTATACCTTACTACTTACTTGTGAAGGTCGTAAGAATACAACAAAGTTATCAGCACTTGAATTGATTTCAACAAAGCAAGTGTCCAGTTTCGAGCCACCGGTTTGGCGTTCCAAAAACACGACGAGGCTGACCACTCGCATGGGAAAAAAACGCTTGCTGCCGGAAAAATATCGTCGGAATCAAAGTAGCGTTTAATGGGGGAAAACTTACCCCCCAAAATGCTGAGGAACAAACAGCAGAAGCAGGCGTTCGGTAGCTCCATCCCCGTTGCAGTTTAGTTTCAGTCGAAGTCCTTTCCGCGAAACTTTGCTCAGGAAAACTTGTGGTGTGTTTGAAGAGGGAAAGGCGGTAGCAGAGCTCTCGCCAAGCATCCAGACCAGTCCGCTCCTCCTCCTCTCTGCAGGTGCACAGGGAGCCGCAGGGTGTCACGTGACCTACGGACAGTCTCAACTTGATATAATACCGCCATCTGGCGGTAGACGGCGTTATTGCGATATGCAATTCGAACGAAAAGAATTGTCCCCGAACACTTACAACCCCTAAGAGGTCGAAACGACCTCAAAGCTCAAAGTATCATGTGTTACTACAGGATTTAATTCAAAGAATATATTTGAATTACAGGGTACAGTAAACAAATGCAATATTTTTTTTTTTTAAAAACACCCTGTTCTGTATATTTAATGGACGAACATAAGTCTTTTGTAACATCCATATAAATTCTTTAAATTCTGTCAAATGCTTTTGTTACAGCTGTAGCTGTTGTGAAAGCACTATAAAAATAAAGCTATATTGTATTTATTGTAAATTGTAAAGCGACAGAGGATATGAAGAATAATATGGCACAAACCTTTTGTCCCTGGACACTTTGAGCAGTTTTCTCTGTGCCCTCCTCAACTCCTCTTGGAAGCATTCGTGTTCCTAGTGGGGTAAAAAAAAAAAATATATATATATATATATATATATATATATATATTTTTTTACACTTCCCAAGTTTCCAGATTCACACAGGAGTATCCTCTCTACCGCATGTTTACCGAGCAGTCATTTTCTCTCCCTTATGTCACGATTTTGCAGAAAACAGTTTCACTTACTGGGAATATTTGTCACTGTATCTGGCAACACTAGCCTGCTGGCACAGTATGCGGCCGTTAGGAGACTCTCACCGGCAATGATAGCCAAAAAGCTTTGATAATACAGTGCTCCTATTACATCCATGATTCTACCGGAAAAGCAGTTGGAAGTTTTTATATATAGGTATATGACTGCAGGATGCAGCATTCATACATGTTCATACATGACAGAGCTTTATATTCTCACAGGCTGAAGTGGACAAGAGCAGGAATGCACATACATGGAACTTTTGAGTGCTGACTGGTCAGTTTTCAGACACTAGTTGACAGAAAACGACAAGCCAAGTCAGGAAACAATATTGCAATGCTTACCTCCCTTCAATGATGTGGACACTGGACCTCTGCGGACCTCTATCTTTAAGGGAGTGGTGGGAACATGAAACTTCTTGGCTCAAAGTGACGATAGAGATCTCAGTGATGATAGAGATCTAAGCGATGAAGGGCACTAAGCTTCTATGTTAAGAGTTCAGGTTTGTATGGAGACTTCTAAAAGAGACATGACTTGCCTTCGTCCCCTCCTCTCGTCATTCACCGCAACGGTACAATTAGTGACCCCGATGTGAGCAAAAAAATGACAGATTTAAATGCAAACATATACGTTGCAACGGTTAGCTTGCCCGATTTTTGACAACAGAACCCAGGTAACACAGCTTCTTGCACCCGGGCGCCAGCGAGTTGCGCGTGAATTTGGACTCACTCCATACGCCCTCGGCGGCCAGCAACAGAATGGTGACCTGGAAATTGGGACAGCACCGACAGCAGCAAAGGCAAAAAAACCCCAGATTCTTGTGAAATTTCAGCCGCTGAAGCCAGCTTCACTTTGGAACATGAATCTTAGTAGACTGTTCAATAATGAGTGGACCCACAAGAAAATTCACATGAAAACTTCTATTTTAGTTTTGACGTTGATATTTTGGTCAAAAGTCTATTCGTAATTAAAAAAAAATGATTACAGTACTTTCAAAATTAAAAGTTTTTATTTGACTCCAATTCCAACATTTTTTTTTTTACAATGAACATCAATAAATCATAAGTCATCTCTCAATCATTAATAGAATAGCTAACTTTTTCATCAGAAATTGACAACGCATAAAATACATGCGTTGAAAATTGCTGTACAAAGAAGCAGGCTACTTCCTGCCTCATGGAGGATGTGACTGGACTTGAGTTGTCACCAGCCAATATATGGACAATTGCACTGAAGAGGGCCATTCAAGTCCAGCAGAGATTTGAACCAAGGACTTCTCAAGCAAAACAGAACAGTTGGCGTACCCTGTATTAATTTTCTGCAGACAAAACCTGATACAATGAGCTGTAAATGTAAGTGCGTCGTTCGTCCAATAGATGGCAGCATGCACACTTGCTCTATGGTACCCCCCCCTCCCCGCTCACACCCCCCATACAGGTTTTGCATAATGGTGAACGTATGTATTGGGAGTCGAACGAAAATAACTGCCTGTAAAGTAAACAATACTACATAAAATGTTAATATAAAGTCATAAACATTATATACCGTTTAGTTGGCTTGGACTGAACTTGGCCGGAGTGATTTAAATGAGGGCGACCTTCACATTAGGTCTACTCCATTGCCTTCTGCAATTATTTTTCCCGTTTAATGATGGACAACTAATGTAGCACATCGTGGTTATGGCTTCCTTCAGAGGGATATTATGATTGTGAAAAATCGTATCTTTGTATCATGACCTTATTTTGCTTCTCCGCGCACTATTGCCTCTTCGATTATGTGTATTTTTTAAAATTTAAAATTTTGTTGATCAAAGCATGTTGTCAATCCTTACGGAATATGTATGTTTTAACACTTGTGTACAAATATTCTGTTTTCTGGTGTGACTATACACCCATGAAAAATAAAATTTACCAACTGGGTGACTCTTATCTGCCCATTTCTCAATATGTGCAGCTAGCTGTTCCACCCCACTGTTACTTAACAGGGGAGTAAATTTGGGAAATCATGAGGGAGATATTACAAAACCTAGAATTCAGTTTTAAAAAAAAAAAATCATGTGCCTTTCGATCACTTCACTAACCAACTCAAAATTGAACAAGTTCAGTGAACAATCATCCGTTTCGGATTAATATTTGGGCAATGTTTATTAGGACATTGTTGATGATTTGATGTGATGAAAGTTTGCAACGTGAGTATACAATTTGATCAGCAATACATATCATAAAAACAGACCCTGACGTTACCACATGTGCATCAATTGAAACTCACCTTGCCAAGGCAAGAATGTAATATGTAAGACAAACACTGTAGCAAAAAAAAATAACGTCATTTTATTGAAACCGAAAAAAAAGCATAAATCATACAAGCTGTTTAAGCTCCACTATGACACACACACACACACACGCACACAAAATAAATAGAAAGTAAAACCTCACACAACACAAATGTGGCTGTTTAAAATAAAGGTCAAAATTTATACTCGAGTCTCCAGTTGAGGAATTCTGCTGAACAAAGGCATAGATGAGCAGTTTTTTTTTCTACACGGTACAAAAATACACGGCATCCATATTCATAACATTAAAACTCCACAAAAACAGAAATCTCTTTGCTAAAACCTACTCAAAAAATATATTCGTCTCAAATGGAGCTAAACCCCACAAAGGGTCAAATAAATGGACTCTCTTACAAAGAGAATGAAAGTTTCAACTCTTTCTAATCACGAATCTGATTCTGCAGCCAAAGGAGCTTTCTCAAGACAAGTAGCTGTTTGCATTCGGCCTCTAAATGATCTGTCTCTCTTTTGCATAGATTTCTTATTTCATGAACTAACCAAAACGGTGTCTCTAGTATCACAATGACATACGTCTACCACAACTTAAAAAAAACATTTAAAAAAAACATAATAACAAAGAATTACATAGTCACTGAGAACAAAGTCTAAGTTGGTTAAAAAGTAATACTCTGAGGAATTGAGTAGAAACAAAAAGTGAAACACAGTTCGGTGTTGCGACATCTGTTCATGGCGTTTACAGTTCATAAGAGAAGCACAGAATCTAAACTGACTTGGGTTTGACAATTAAATATCTCTTTAAAAGTTCTCCATGCATCTCTGTACTACAACAATACTTTTTCAGAGGGAGCTTGAATAATGTAATGAAGACGCTTTTTTTTGGGGGTGGGGGGGAATACCCAACAGGGCATATAAGCTATACAGATAAATTATTCTAAAGCCCTGGTCCATGAGTTCCCCCTTTTGGTTTTGTCCTGTGATCTTTTCAGAGTTCAACTGATCTCATCTTATTGCACTGATCTAAAATCCTTTGTTGATATAATTGTGTAACCTTCGCATGTTCAGTGCTTTACCGTGATACCGACTCAGCTGTACGTAAAAGTTATATACCAGAGAACAAAAAGCAGTTGAAATGCAGATTTCAAAAAAATGACTTGTTTTTAAGTGCAACAAAAATGGACGCCATTGTTGCACAATATAACATAAATTCAAGCAAGCCAGGTTTTAAAATGCTGAGAATGATGAGCAGAAATATAAAAATATATAATATTTAACAGAAAATGGGTAAAATATACCTGCACAAAATGAACCATAAGTAAATGAAACACAGTGCCTTAAGAGATTTTGGACTTTGACCAGTTTGAGTAAAATTCAGCCGTTTGTCACCAAGCAAGCCCTTAATCCTGAGCTCAGTGCTATCCCCACAGCATCACGCAGAGGGCATTTCGTTCTCAGTCTTATTGCTGCAAACACATACATAATTGTCCCAAAGACACGCGCATGCACATCACTCCACGGGGCCTCCGACACCATTGCCGCTGCCGGTCTTGACGCCAGCCCTACTAATGTGCAGCCAGGGCAGCTTGGCACAGTTCTTGAAGAGCTGCTCGATGGCTACATGACGCACGTGCAGCTCGGACGCCAACGAATCTTTCTCCTGCACGGCCGCAGTAAGCTCGTCGAAGACCTCTGTGGAACAAGAGGCACAGTAATGCCAAACTTTACACCAGCCACTTCAAGCAGAGACCATTCACGTCACATGGTAAATTACCCTATTTTCCGCACTATAAGGAGCACCGAAAAGCATTCAATTTTCTCAAAAGCCGACAGTGCCTATAATCCGATGCGCCTTATAAATGGATCAATATTCTGATTTCTTGGAAGTAGTATTTTAAATGTTCTGTAAAGCGCTTTGTTGCAGCTGCAGCGGTTGTGAACGCTCTAAATAAATAAAACTGCATTGTATTGTATTCCCTTTAGCGTAGCTCCATGTAGTGGATGCATAACGCAACTGCAGCCACTATTGCAATTTCTACTCTATGAATCTTATAATGCGGTGCGCCCTACATGTGAAAACAGTTTTAAAATAGGCCATTCATCAAAGGTGCGCCTTATACTACGAAGCGCATTATAGTGCGGAAAATATGGTTGCCTATTTGCATATCATCGTAGTTTGGTGGACACATCCTGTCCAAATCTGGACAATTTTTGAGCATATGCCAAAGCTGCAACTTGCGCTAACACAGCAGTAGAGTAAAACAAATATGGAAAAAAAAAACTTGTAGACCATGAATATAAAACAATAAATCCAGCAGTAAGCGAGCGGGACTTTTTGTGCCATACGACGACATTCGAATGCCACTGCGAAAGCTTATTCATTGTGTGACGTTCATAACCTCTTATCAGGACAGTTGTAAATCGAGGAGGCTCTTTATACACCACATCGATCGTAGATTTTCAAAATGTAGATGTAGCGTAAATTCTGGAGCATGAAATGCATTTTTTTTACCTCTTCTAATCTAACAAATTACTAATGCAGTTAATAGTTCAATTTCTGAGCATGGATGACAGCAGATTGGGGAGTGCATAATACATTTTACAAAGGAAAAACCATCTTTTGGATGAGGGTGGCGGTGGGGGGTGGTTTTATCCCAGTGCGTGTTACGCTTGAAAAAGGAACGGTAATTAAAGAGTGATAGGACCGACATCTATGTAGGCGCCACAAAAGTCGACAGCTGTTCTTTGCATGCTGCTCTGACTTCATGTAATGTCATTTTCTCAGCCTATACAAGGGGCTGCATTTGACAGGGTATCCCTAAAATGTGGACATTTGTCTTTGTCTTTATTTATTTAACAGGGACGTTGCACAGACCAGAAATAGCTACGAGGGTATTTGCATCTGAAGTCCGTGAACAGAAGCAGTGACAGTGGGTCACACATGAACAAAAAAAATGCCTATTTCCAATAAATGACAATCACTAGATGATACGGTTTGCTTTGTGGAAAAGATGAGGGCTGTTCAACACAAAGAAAGCCGCATTTATAGTGTTTATTTATTCATGCCATAATCCTAGATTGACGCCTCCATTTGGAAATGCTCTAATGCTCTCAAAGCCCCTCTGGCTGAACACAACCCTGCAACCCTGACTGAATGCATTTCTTCAAACCATCAAAAAAAATACTATTGGCTCATTCGGGCCACTTACTTTGGATCTTAATGAGAAGCTGGGTGTTCAAGTGATGGAGCTCATCCACACACATTTGAGTCACTAAAAGAAAAAAAAAAAAACAGCTGGGGTTAGATTGTGAGAAATCCAGGTGTCACATTTGAAATAAATCCAATGACAATGTTCATCAGGTTCTGCATGTAAAAAAACAAAAACAAAAAACTACCATCTTGCCTTTGTAAATCTTTTATCAATTATGAATGTGAACTGCAACCTACAAAGTAATGTGTACGCACTGAATCATGCAAATACGCTCGGTCAAAACTGGAACCACGAAAAATGTGACACCTGTGTAATCACAGAATGTTAATTTGTAGCACCTGAAAATGCAGTTTAAGCGGTGAGCCGGTGTTTCTTGACACATTCAGCTCAAGAAATGAAAGTGAAACTTTATGTGAGTTCATACAGTAGGTAAATTCCACACTGGCTCACATTCATCTCTGCTGTGGCCCTGATGTTTGCGCTCAGTTTGCCCTCCCGCTGACGGTGAATTCCGGATGTGAAGAGCTTTCCTGCCGTCGCTGGACCATACGTCCCCCTGCGAGTTCTGCAGCATCCTCAGTTCCTGGGCTGTGTGACACTCCAGCGTCCCCATGCTGTAGTCAGGCAGCCGCGGTGCGTCCACTGCTTCCCAGTGGGGGGCGTAACGGGGCACCTGGGCTTCTGACTGAGGCAGCAGCTTGCGGTCGCCCAGCTGGCTGTAACAGAGAAGCCTGGACCCGCGTCTGCCGAGGCCATTGTTGGACGGGACATTGTCTTTGTTCTGCGCGTACTGGATGATACGATTCAGTTTTTGGCTGAGGGCCAGTTTCATGCCCTCGTAGGCACTTCGGGAGATCTTGGAGTGTGACAGCTTCTGGTTGGCGATGAGGTGACATTTCTCAAAGCAGTCTCTGTGGCCGCGCAGAGACTTCGAATGTAATAGAGTGGAAGCAGAAACGCCTGTAAACACACAAACAGGAGAACTAAATAAAAGCACACGGATATCGATTGGTCACAACTAAGTCACAGTTGAGTTAGTCGCATAAAAATTGATTTTGCATTGGTAAAAAACAATTACCAATACAAAATATGCATGTGTGGTACAAGTATTTTTTTTTCTTTCATATTTTACACTGCAGTGTCTGTAACTTTGATTGTGTGTGGCTTTAAAAGGTGGGGCCTGGCCTGGTGAGTGACTTGGAAGTTAGCGAATGAGAAGAATGTAGAGTTGGCTGTTGTGAGCTCAGGATAGCAGCTAGCTGTTGTTAACCAGTCTGTGACTTGAGTGCTTGGGCATCTGATCGCCCCCCCAAAAAAAAGGTGGCGGCGAACAGTGTTAAACATGTTCAATATTTATGATGGTAAATCCTTATGCGCATGGTCGAGCCATGAACTCCGCGACTGTGACGCGAAATGGACCGACAGCTAATTAAGAAGCGACCTTAAAGCTTTTTCCAGAGGAAACAGTTTCTTTGGAGGCGAAACTGGTTGAGTGTGTGTGTACTGCCTCGACAATTCAGCCATTCAGGCGAATAAAAAAATAACAAGGAGAAGTGTTTGCAACCGCCATTGCAACCACCAGTTCCGCTAACAATTAGCCAAGCTTCTTCTATTTTGTCCTCCGCTACTCTTTCTTATCTTTTCTATTATCCAGCAGTTGGATGCCCTTTGGCACCATGCTGCTTTTCATGGGTCTGCTTTGTGAGAGGACCTTCAACAGTGTCGGTGGAAAGATTGCTGTGCCGGTCATCTCCACTAAATACACCATACAACGAAAGAGGGTCTCTAACATGAAAAATCATATACAGTATGATGTTAAAAATCTGTATTTGTGTTTCCTGCATTATACCAGGTGTCAAAACAAACATGACTTCCACCCAAGTTCAACAGTACTCGAACACTGAACTGCCAGTGTGAATAAATATTCACCAACATGAATGGACGCTAAAACTGTCGGGTTGACCCATCACAATCTCTCTGTAAAGCTGCTTATGGTGTAGGGGGATTACCAAGTGCAGCCTTTAGATTGCAGCCGTAATAGGAGAGTGCCATCTCAATGCAAACAAAATCTTTTATAGTGGTTAAGTTCTTAATACAGAAAAGAAAGCAAGTTAAAAATGAGATGCCTGCAGCAAATATGCAAGGTGATTTTACGCATTCTGCCCTCATCGCTGATGACTTGAGTGTGTCGGGGGGTGTTTTCGTCCTCATATTAACAATTATGAACAAATTCTGTTTCAGTCATTGGCCAGCAGAAAATTGTAGCAAAATGTAAACAAGGGCGACTTTAAATATATATGGCTGAGTTGAAGTTTCGGACCATGACACAAGTCTACATCTATCTATTTTTATCTTTGTATATTGACAGTCTGACTCACGTACCTCCAAGTCAGAACTTCATCATGAACGGATTAGTCTCATGAAAAAGTCGCACAGAATATTACCAAGCCATGAGTGCATAAATGGGTATTCTGTCTTTCAAATGTCAGTGACTGCAAATACGATTTATTGACTGCCGTCACTATTAAAACAATTTTAGTCTCTAACATGCACTAACCATTACTTTCTAAGTTGGGAGGGGGGGAAATAAAAAAAAAGGTCGGCCCACAAACCAAGGCAACATTGCACCAACCGGAGAGCTCAGTTCAACTAAGCAGCTTAGCACTTCTTGTCTTTTACGGTTGTGTACACACAGACTATTCACCGGAGGCATATATGCATATTGTTCAGCTGCGAAAAAGAGACATTGGGCACAAATGTCACTGACTGTGTTTACTTGTACACATATAAAGAGGTTACTGACAGTTTTTTTTTGTTCCCTTCTGCGGATGCCGACTCTACTTTAGAACGTTACTTTTGGAGGCATGTGGAATAGAGGTCATTGGTGCTAAGGTGTTGAACAGAGCTGTCTGGCAACACGTGAAAGAATGTTGAGTCAGCAGCTGTGTGGTCTAAATAGACAACATTGACGCAGGCAGCAGTAAGGCGCTGACAAGCTTATACATATTCATTAGGGCTGTGTGATATGGCTAAAATTCAATCTCAATATTTTTGCCAGGTACAGTCATACCACGGTTTTCGACCATAATCCGTTCCAGAAGGCTGTTCGAAAATCGATTTGTTCAAAAACCGAAACCACGCTCTTTAAAAAAAAAAAAAAATCTTTATTGAACATGTCTGCTCACAATGTAACGCTACACAAGAAGTGTCACTTCCTTGTCTACCCGAGGAAGCGTCACTTCTTCATGTAAGGAAGGCGAGAGGAGTCAAGTGGCGCATTTAAGTGCGGACAGTTTGGCCGAGAACCGATTTTCGGTCGTAATCCGAGGCATAAAAAACTCGAAATTTTTGGTCGAAAACCGATTTGGTCGAGAACAGAGACGTTCGAAAACCGAAGTTTGACTGTATTTCGACAACGATACGATAACGATAATTCTATGGGTTCAATGAAAACTATCCATTCATTTTCTGATCCGCTTATCCACACAAGGGTCGTGGGGCGCGCTGGAGCCTATCCCAGCTGTCTTTGGGTCGTAGGCTGGGAACACCCTGAACTGGGTGCTGGCCAATCGCACGTCACACATAGACCAACAACAATTTGCATTTCCAATCACACCTTCGGGAGAATTTAGAGTGTTTCATCAACCTGCCCTGCATGTTTTTGGAATGTGGGAGGAAACCGGAGGACCCAGAGAAAACCCACGCAGGCACGGGGAGAACATGCAAACTCCACACAGGAAGGCCGGAGCCGGAATCGAACCCTGCACCTCTGCACTGTGAGGCCGACGTGCTAACCAGTCGACCACCGGGCCGCCCTGTGTATGTGCAATGTGACACATTTACCAGAAGTAACTGGCTCACTTAATAAAGTGAAAGCCAACAAAAGGGTGTTATTAGGTTACTATTGTCTCCAAACTTTGTTACGTGTCATCTGACATTTGCTGTAGTAAACTTATTTTGGAAGGCGTGAGAAAACCGAAGCGCATATCCTGGAGCATTTAAGAATTCAAATATACAACTCCAAGCATCTAGCAGCAGAAGGAACTGCAGGGTGAAGAGTTCACTGCCAAAGAATTGGCTGTTGGAAGGAGCATGTCGCAATAACCACGGTCGGCAAATGAGAATCAGATGCATCATTCTGACAACACAAAACCAGCTGGTAACATTAGCAGGCCTCCGCAGAAATGTGTTTATGTAATCAGATAAAGGAAAGCAGCCCTGGTTAGCTCAACCTGGAGGCTCAAGTCTGGTTGAGCCTCACCCCTTTACTCGAAGTTGGCTTGATGCTATTTGAAACATTGGTTTCTCTGAATCATGTGACTCATGACATGTTTTGTCATAGGACTGACAGAAAACTGGTCCCAATTATAATTCAAGGTACAGTGAAACTCCTCTACAACGAAATCATGTTTGCAGCAAGAAATTTTTCACAACAGGGGGTTTTTCACTGTAGCAAATTTGATCTCAGGTGTAAACACACACACACACACACACACACACACACACACACACACACACACACACACAAACGTATGTGTACACACACACACACAAACGTATGTGTAGTCTTTATTTTTATTCCAATAGTGCGTAAGTATGAGCATACACTTATTTGACCTTCATATAGTCAGTGCATAAAGAAAAAAAGGGAAAGAAATTGCGAAATTACGATCAGCATTCATTTTCACTTAAATCAATTTCTTGAATAATGTCTTTTATTTTGCTTCCTCCGTCTTTCATTTTGATCACTTTTACCCTCGCTTCCAGCGTCAGTGCTCTTCTTGTCTTCGCTGCTTGATATCCAAAGGTCCGTTTTGGAGCCATTTCAGCAATGCAACGTTCTTGCTGCGTCTGAAACTAACAATAACAAATACTTCCTGGACTACTGCGCATGTGTAAACCAGTGTGGTGGTTGCTGTTGCCGTTTCCGAACGAAGCAGTAGAGGTCGCTGTTGGATTAGACTTCGTTGTAGTAAATCTCGTAGCGAGGCAAGAGCAGAGAAAAAGATTTCGTATAACGCAACAGGGTTTTTTTTCGTTGTGGGAGGGCAGGAGAGTGGGAATGGTGTTAATGCATTAAGATTTTTTCACACTAGGGGGTATTTTCCCCCCATGTAGGTTTCGGTGTAGAGGAGTTTCACTGTAATAACAATATTGCACATATCATTTTTATCTTACATGAATACAGTTACCACTACACGCAATCCGGGTTCCATTCGCCCTGATGTTTTTTGTTTGTTATTCTTTTCTGAGACCACAGCAGCTTCCTTGTTCTCGGCTGGGCTGTTGTGGTTCAGGCTATGTAATCATGTACTGACCACAGCTCACATGGTGCAGTGGAACAAAACAATGTGTCTCAGATAGAAATTCCTATTGAAGAAAAGGCATTCAAGTGGATTGCAGATCATCACAATTACCGTATGCTGTTATTTCACAAGAAATGGGATAGAGAGGCCAAAGCAGTTTCCTTAGGAAACACCTACTCGGAACTCCAACAATGGCTGCACTTCCTGAATTTCGTACATAAAAAGAACTGACATGAAACGTTTTTTTTTATCTTCCATGGAGAGTCCGTACAAGTAAATACTAATATTTATGCTCAAAGGGAACAAAGGAGAAATCCTGTGCGTTACAATCTGTCTCAACTCTTAAAGATGGCTTCATCGCTTGTTGGATCTTGCTGCGGCGATGTATCAGTGCACTTTAAGGCACAGCATGTGCATGTCAACAAGTCTCAACATTTCATACGAATGTCAGAGGAGCATGCAGGGAGGAGAGGCTGGAGGCGGAAATTATACTTCTGATTCCACACTCGGGTAAAACAAAAATGGACCTGTCCTCAGCCAAAGCGGCTTATTGGCCAATTCGAAACAACTGTCACTATCACTATAGGTAAAGTGACGCATGAAGAGCTTTGTAACTTTGATACACTGAGATACTGGAGCTTCAAGCCCCTTTTGCGTTGCCTGCAAAAGCCTTTGTTCTGTTAAGGGCACTGACACAGGGAAAAGAAAGTTTAACTGATGACATGACTTTCCGCCATCTTGCTGTGTTGAAAGCAAAGTCACTGTTTATCTAGTGCAGTGGACCCCGCATACTCGAGGTTCAGCACTCATCGATATGCATAGTCTCATTTTTTTCCTCAAAATATTTAGGGAGGATTTGGGTGATTTTTTTGGTGTTTTTTTTTTTTTTAAGATGGCCGTTTTGACACTTGGTGTTGACTAAAAACCATCACAGCGCCGAAGGGCCCAGGTAACAACCGATCACAGCTCACCTGATTTTTTTAGGCTAGTGACCAGTGCGACGGGCTACCGGTTTAAGGAGTATCAGTCCATCTTGTGAGCATCTGATTTAAAAAAAAAAAAAAAACATAAAAACCAATAGTGGTTCTACCTTCAATGCTGAGATCAAAGCAGACGTGGCAGAAAGATAAGGTCCCTGTATCTGTCTCCAGCTTGCAGACGCTGCAGATGTTGTCGTCATTCAGATCAATGTTCACAAACTGCTCCTCTCATCGCTTGTTGAATCTTGCTGCGGCGATGTTTCAGTGCACGTTAAGGCACAGCATGTGCATGTCAACAAGTCTCAACATTTCATACGAATGTCAGAGGAGCATGCAGGGAGGAGAGGCTGGAGGCGGAAATTATACTTTTGATTCCACACTCGGGTAAAACAAAAATGGACCTGTCCTCAGCCAAAGCAGCTTATTGGCCAATTCGAAACAACTGTCACTATCACTATAGGTAAAGTGACACATGAAGAGCTTTGTAACTTTGATACACTGAGATACTGGAGCTTCAAGCCCCTTTTGCGTTGCCTGCAAAAGCCTTTGTTCTGTTAAGGGCACTGACACAGGGAAAAGAAAGTTTAACTGATGACATGACTTTCCGCCATCTTGCTGTGTTGAAAGCAAAGTCACTGTTTATCTAGTGCAGTGGACCCCGCATACTCGAGGTTCAGCACTCATCGATATGCATAGTCTCATTTTTTTCCTCAAAATATTTAGGGAGGATTTGGGTGATTTTTTTGGGTGTTTTTTTTTTTTTTAAGATGGCCGTTTTGACACTTGGTGTTGACTAAAAACCATCACAGCACCGAAGGGCCCAGGTAACAACCGATCACAGCTCACCTGATTTTTTTAGGCTAGTGACCAGTGCGACGGGCTACCGGTTTAAGGAGTATCAGTCCATCTTGTGAGCATCTGATTTAAAAAAACAAAAACAAAAACAAAAAAAAAAACAATAGTGGTTCTACCTTCAATGCTGAGATCAAAGCAGACGTGGCAGAAAGATAAGGTCCCTGTATCTGTCTCCAGCTTGCAGACGCTGCAGATGTTGTCGTCATTCAGATCAATGTTCACAAACTGCTCCTCTTCATCCATGGCACGTCCAGCGAAACAGCTGGGAAATGAATCGAGTGGCTCAATGTAAGAAGCTTGCAGAACGTATGTTTTTTTCCTTGCTTTTTCTTTGCTGTGAATTGCTTTTTTTTCCTGTGTCACTTGAGAGAAACGTTTTGTAGTTCTGTGGGTGTAATACAGTCAAAGGGCAGTTTCTACAAAGATGATTACATATAATTAGAAATACATTGCAAAGAAAGTGGAACCAAAGTTGGATTTGGACATTCTGATTTGTTTAATGATTAACAAACTTCTAACATAGCATATTTCAACCATATTTAATTGCAATTGGAGTACTGTATTCCGATTACATCAAGCTCAATTGGTATGGCTTATCTGGTCTAAACATTTATGCTGCACTCGCAATTACAGATATCCGATATGTTTGATTCTGACCTGAGCATATCAAATTCCATGTCGTCCCCCGCACCCCCATTTACATAGGTATGACGAATATCCAAACTGTGGCACTTGAGACCAAGAAAAGCTGGAACTGTAACATTTTAACCCATCCATATGGTGCTTCAGGCAAGGAGCGTTGTACCCTTTGGAGTGGTCATCAGCCATCCACAGGGCACATAAACTATTCACACTAACAGTACATTATAATTCATAACTTACATATAATTAGAAATACATTGCAAAGAAAGTGGGACCAAAGTTGGATTTGGACATTCTGATTTGATTAATCATGAACAAACTTCTAACATAGCATATTTCAACCATATTTAATTGCAATTGGAGTACTGTATTCCAGTTACATCAAGCTCACATGTGGTGGCTTATCTGGTCTAAACATTTATGCTGCACTCACAATTACTGATATCCAATATGTTTGATTCTGACATGAGCATATCAAATTCCATGTCGCCCCCCCCCCCCGCACCCCCATTTACACAGGTATGACTAATATCCAAACTGTGGCACTTGAGAGCAAGAAGTGTTGGAAGTGTATCACTTTAAACCATCCATATGGTGCTTCAGGCAAGAGGCGTTGTACACTTTGGAGTGGTCATCAGCCATTCACAGGGCACATAAACAACTATTCACACTAACAGTACATTATAATTCATAATAAAAATCCCATGGACCAAAAATGTTAATTACTGTATTAGGAGGAATTACAAGAGTGAAAATGTTCACTTGGTGAAGACATGAGATTGTTAATGATTTTTCACAATACTTTGGAAACAGATAAATATCAATAAGCAACCTTTTATTTCCAAAAATATCTGCTGGTGTTTACATTTTCAAATGATCACTTTTAAAACATTATTACAAAATCACAATGACCTGCGGGCTAGTCATGTTGTCCTTGGGGATTGGGGGGCAACCTGGTGCCCGTGAGCATTATGTTGGTGACTCCCGATTTAGTCTTCAATGAAATTTGCATGTGTGTTTTTGCATAAATAAATAAAAAGAGTTTATTTTAACATTCATTCTCATCTTATTTTTAATGTATTATTTATAATCCATGTTATAATAATCATTACATAAAATGGATTCAAATACAATAAAAAAGTGAATTCAAAAATTGATTAGATGAAGGAAAAAATATATAACGGCATTTTAATTAACTAATTTTAGGTAAAATAGCTAACATAATATAAATACATAGTCGGTGGGTCGGATTAACTTTGAAACTTTCGCATCCAAAATTAAAAAAAAAAAGTTCATCGTCTCTCGTAATAGATTGTTATGTGCATAGTGGCTGTTTAGAGGAACGATACACATTGACGCTTTAATACCAATTACGTTGTGTTCGCATTAGCAACCAAACGATTACGTTGATTATCTTCACAAAAATCCATTCAGATTCCTCGTTGACTGATAGATGTTGATTGGTGTACAAACAAGACGATCGATGCGCTGTATGTGTCCATATCGTATATCGTTCAAAAAAAGTCTTGCTAACAATAAGTAAAGCTAGTAACAGTAGCTAAACTAGCATCCCCTCGAGTGGTTACATCTGTATGCTTCGTGACCGTTATTCGGCATTGACGAGCACAAAATTGTCTTACCCAGCGAGTGCCACCAACTCTCCCTTTCTTCAAGAGACTGTCCTCGGTCTGGTCGCTGTTTCCGTCTCGTCGTACAGCAGTTGTTCTTCGCTCGGTAAAACACACAAACATCTGATAACATCCACGCGTCACGGCAAATCCCAAAACATTTAGCAGAAACCTCCAGTCTACCACCGGAATGTACCACTAGTTTGGCTCAGAGAGGAAAAGAAAAACTGTTTCTTCACAAGGATCGTGAACATACCGGTAACTAAAAAATAACAACTAAGAAAATATGTTAAAAGGGCATATGAACACAGAGCTGCATTATTTTCTTTCGTACTTACTTGTCCCTAATAACAATTACTTTTAATACTCCCCCACAAACGCAACATGGTATGCCCTCCGGATGTCGTCGGTATACATGTTTCCATTCCATCCGTTTCGGTTTACAGCAACAGGCTTCTGGTCACAAATAAAAGTCAGATGATGATGATAATAATAATCATAATAATAATAATAATAATCTGACACTTTCTGTGATTAGTTGACAAATACTCAATGACTTGGTGAACATTGTATACAAGAGTTAAAAAAGCCTACTTGTCTGCCTAATATGCCCCCTTTCTATCTTAAAGGGTTCTCTGAGGAGAATTATTGAATGTAGTAGTAAAGCCCAGACCTGGCCCAAACATAAGCGAACCAAGCACATGCTCAAGTGGGGCCCCGTGACCACAAGGGGGCCCCCTAAATTCACTTAACTGTCAACAGAACCTGGAGTTTTATTTTTTTTTACTGAGATATTTAATAGTACAGTATGTAGGTAGAATAGAGTATCATAAAACATGTTTGGATTAAGGTACTTATTGTTTTATTTTTGAAAGAAAAACTTTTTGCACCTAATTATTCAAAGCATATTCTTTTTAAGTTTTTTTTTCCACATTTTTTCACGCCCATGTTTTCAGTTACATCATTATTTAAGGTTTTGATGCTTGCTCAGGGACTCTTTGGATGCTTGGGCTAGCTATGCAAAAGCCTAACTGAACACCAAAACAAAAACAACAACATATGAAATTATTAGTCAACCTGAAAAATGTATTGAGTTTATCTTATGTTCAACAATATCAAAAATTTAATAAAAAGCTCTATTATAAATGTTCTGCTGTACGCAACGCAGATCCCCTTCCTCCCCACAACACCAGGTTATTTCTTATATTTAATTCCCAGGGTGTCGAAGTGATGAATGCACTCCTGCTCTGTTGGCAAAAGTTTTCTATTAGCTGGCAGGAGGTACATGTGTTGACTCAGTACGAGCACACTGTTTGCTTTGTAGTGACATCATAGCACCTCCTCCCGCCCCTGTGTGGATTTAATCCTCACAATTTTAATCTCAAAACGTCTCCAGGAACCATTCCCCTCCATTGTTTCTCAACATTAGACCATAACATGTTGTCTACACAGTACAAACACATGAATTTGCCTGTCCTGTGTAACATAATTTCAAATCATGTCTTCACCTTTTGCCCAGTTTGCCAAAATGCTACTTCCTTGTCATTGTGCAAGCACAAGGAAACAGACCATAAATCGTGTACTGTATTCCATTAATGCTGTGTGAGTGCGCCCACGTCCATGTGTTCGCCTGGAGGAAAGGTGCACATGTTGTCGCACGCCTTGTGTCTTAAGAGGCGAGGTCTCAGATCTTGCTTAGCTTGTTCCGTGAGGTTAAAATAAATGAAGAGGATGGAAAAAGATTGCAGAGGAAAACAGCTCACAGCATTTGGAAAGATTGTCAATTCCCTCTGGAGCCAGTCATATGCCGATAAATTTTGCTTCATGCTTAAATATAAGCAATTGTATTCAATTTGAAGAGAAAGCATTTAAAAAGGACACAGCATGGTAAATGTACTTTTGAATTGCTTCTCATAGTAGTTCGGTCTCTCGACTATCTGCCCACCCATGGAGTGTGAAATTACAAAGCCAACCAAACCATGTCGCAGTCTTGAAAATGTGTCTGTAAGCAAGCCATTCTGAATTGTGACATCACAGTTCAGCTAATTTGGGTAAGATTACCACATGTGCCGATTTTCATTTCCCATGACTTTACCCAGAGCCATTGATCCATTATCTGACTTTCAAGCAATGACCAAACTACACTTTCTGACTGTCAAAGTCAAAGGGTGAAGAGAGCTGCAGTGTTATCACGGATTAGCGTTCACTAACAGGGTCATTGTTGTCACCTCTGAAACGTGATCTTGGTAGTACTTGGCGTTGCACTTGCGCATGTGAGACATGCAAGTGATCTTGTGATGAAGCGCTCCCTCCATGAGTGAAAATATACATTAACGTTGTTTTTATGGGGATTTGCACTTCTCACAAGCAGACTCTGGCCTGCTTGTGAACAAGTAGCCGTTCACCTGGTCACAACATCCTCGGCCCTCCTTTGGCTTTTGTGGTAATTGAACCTGTACACGGCATTGACCCAAAAGCAAAGGGGTGTGCAGTGAGCTGTGGTCTATTTGTATTAGACAGGACCAGCCCTCAAAACAGATGTTATCATAACCCCTAGGACACTGTTTGCACGATCAGCGTAAATTGTGAGTGGCCAGTGGCACAACTCTGCACTGTGGCAAAGCAGACCGGGTATTGGTAATTTTGCAGATTACAAGAGGAAGGGCTGCGCCGTTGTGTGAGTGGTCACAGGCGACTTCAGTTATGGCCAATCAAAGTGGCTCCTTCAAATTCATTTAAAAGCAGGTAGATGTACACGCGAGTCTCGACATGCAGAAGCACATGCGCACCGTCAAGTGGGCACATGGAGACCACACCCCACCCACGATTGTTCGTTTAAGTTGCCTTGAAGAAAACAGTATTACAGTACCTATTATAATGAGCGCCCGTGCTCATCCAAGGTTTTTCATCTATCAATTTTCTGCAAAGCTGATGCTCATCATTGGATGAGCTATAGCCTATCTCAGCTGACTTTTAGTGAGAGGCAGGGTCCGACCTGGACTCGTGGCTTGTCAATCGCAGGGCAAATATCGACAAATATTCAAATCCTCATTTTTGTCGTGGGCCACTTTGGAGTTATGTCTTCACGACGGTGAAACTGAACAAATGTTTCCCATCGTATTATTACTTCTACACAACAAGTTGATGGATTACTAGTTTTGAAATCGGTCATGGCAACTATTTGTTTGTTCAATTACTGCTCAAGGTAGTGTAAACAAGGTAACACAATTATCGCTAGATGTCAAGATTTTAACAAGGATCATGCAAATCAACACAGATAATTTGCTTTCGCGGGCCGCATCTGGCCCCCGAGCCTCGAGTTTGACATTCGTACTATATACACATTGTGGAATGTATATAATGAGTGAACATGTTTGTTTTGAAAAGCTTTGGATTCTTGAGTCTTTTTTTGCTGCTATATTAGTGAATGGAAATCCAATCTCCCCCTCAGGGGACGTACAGTAAAAAAAATAAATAAATAATAAAATTAAAAAAAAAAAAACGAATCATAATGACTACACATAAACCATCTGACATACCATTTCATCGCTTGTTTACAATGGAAGGTGAACTTACACCCACTATATTAAGATGTGTCATATATTCCATGCTCTGTAATTAACACAGTTGGGTTGATGACACCGGAAGTCTCCCATTAGAATGCGGCTCCACAGGCTTTTACACTTTGGATGTATCTTTCACAAGCAGACAGAGTCACAACCTAGAGGGAGTGACACTCATCGTTCAACGGTGACAGTGGGGAAGCAGCCAAAACGCTGAGTGGGAAGACAGACAAGTAGAAAATGAAGGTGACCCATGAATACGTATAATATAAGTGCCAAAGACACATTCACAACTTGTAAAAAAAAAAATAATAATAATAATAATCAAGGCAATATTCCCACATGCAACAAACCTGTTACGGTGAAAAATCAACTGTACAAAGATTCACATCCATCCTGATTAGGGTTGCGGCTGAGCTGGAGCCTATCCCAGCTGTTTTATTGTGAGAAATGGGGCACACCCTAATCTGGTTTTCAGCCAGTCACAGGGGATGTAAATTATTCACACTCACATTCACACATCAATGTTTTTTTCTTGTGTGGCAGGTGGAGTACGCGGAACCGTTTTACTATTGTTGTGTACGACAATGTGTTCAAAATGTACTCTGGAGGGTACATTTTGAACGCCGAACAATTAGGGCCCAATCGATGTGGACTTTTCTGAGGCCAATACCAATTCTGACATTTGGGAGAAAAAAAAATTCAGATGACCGATGAATTGGCCGATTATTTTAAAACGTTGAAAATGAATAAATGAACTTTTTTGGTCCATGATGCAAAGATATGAATAACAGGCAGATGTTTTGACTGTTTTACAATACATTGACCTTTAGTAGATATATTTTTGAACTTTACAGTCAAAAAATGATTTACACATGTTGCCTTTTAAATGTCATTTGCTCTCCCCCATTATAAATATTTTTTGACATGAAGTGATGACCTAAAAAAAAACACAGACGGCGTTCTCACATGTCAGAACATGCCATCTTGACAGAGTTGCGTTTCAAATTTATGGAGACAACACGAAGAACAAATTTTGACATGAGATGGCTTTCAATGCCTTTAAATGTATTTTTGACGCAGCTTTCAAAAAAAATGTATTGACTTTTTTTCCTGCACAACAGGTTTTTGAGTTATTTTATTTGTTTTCAACCCTGACCTATAAAAGGTTGCGCAATCTGGATTTTACCATGCATTCCAGTTTATAGCTTTGACGCTTCACAAAAAATTGTTGCTGAACCTAACCCTTAATTCATGAACATTCCTCACTTACTATTTTTCATATTATATTGTGATTATTATACTTATTATGAAAACCTGACGTGCTAGGGAAAAAAAAAACTCGGACAGATTTGGAATCAGCGCAAAAATACTAAAATGCTGAGCTATAGAGTTAGTCATTGAATCTTGCAATTCACACAGAATAACATTCTGTCAGCCATATATGTCCTTTATTTCCTGCCCATATTGAACAGAATTACTTTTTAATGAGAGTATGATTATCATGGTATTTAATTGCCATAAAACTCTGGCTGATTATTATTATTTTTGAAATGACACTAAATATCAGCCAGGCCCGACTTACAATAATAAATTATCTAAGACGTGATACTAATGCTGCTGATGATCAGAAAAGGTAATTTTTGACATTTATAAAAACAACATATCTAAAAACAGAAGCTATGATTAGGCAACATCAACAAAATCACATCACCGGAGCTACAATAGGTCGGAAAAATCGTCAAATTTTTGCCTGGGAGTAGACGCTTCAAATTACACTTGTTATTCATTTTTAGTCTCTCTGGCAAAGATGACTAAAGACAGGACAATTAAGCATTTGCCACTCGACATCATGCCTCGGGTTCTAAGAGCCAAGTCTTCAGGGCGCCTGGGATGAGACAGGGGCTTTGTGATGACACGTTCTTATCAACACGCTGAAATTGCTGGTAGAACGTCAGCACCCTCACTCATTTCTTAATCACGCACGCATCATGTGATCCACCTCCGGGGCAGTTCCCATGATGCTTGCCAACTTGAGCGTGGTCTGTGGAGTCTGGGGAGGAGACAAGGCTGTGATTTCACTTAAACCGAGGGTACAGATGTAGACACGCCAGCTCGGCCTCTTGTCAAGGGTGATGATTGTTTCTCGCATGCGGGTGGTGAGCGTAGTTGTGAGAACAAAATCTGAGACACATGAAACGAGATACAGTACTTTCTTGGCTATGCTTATGAATCATAAAAAAGGGACTCCGTCTGTGTTTGTTTTTCAATCTGACAATTTCCTGGTTGATGGAAGATGACATGAAATGTAAAAAAAAAAAAAAAAGGAAGGAAGATGAAATGAATTGTAAAAAAAAAAAAAAAAAAAAAAAAAAAAAGAAGTAGGAACCCTAAGCACAAACATGGCAACGAAAAATCATGTTATTGCTCTTACAGTGATATATTCAAAATGACAAACGGCATGTCACTCACCTGACAATTATCTCTGAAAATGAAGGGTCTCCTGCTTGAAATCAGCTGTAATACCAAGCCTGGCCTGTGAGGGGCAACATGGTGCCACAGGGTATCCTGACTGCTGGAAATTACAAAGATGAAGACAGAGTAGCAGTAGCAGAAGAAATAAAATAAGACATGCTAACTATTAGCTTGTTTGGTGACTGCCATAGATATGAAAAAAGATTGGGATATAGGACACACCTCTTTTGAGCTGTGTGCCTATGGCGAGACTAAGCTAGTAGGGGCAAAGACGTTAGTCGGCGCATTCCTTGTTTCCCTTTTCTTGCTAAGTTTCTCCAATTTATATATTCAAAGAATTTGCATTAACCTATGCTTACACTATTAATATTACAGACTAGTGGATATTAGCATAAAAAAAATACTCGTAGGCCATAAATATAAACCAATCAAATGAGGGACACCAAATTACGATATCAACTGAGCATGGCTTCTTGTATGGCACTCTTGCGTAACCTCAAAATGTCAGCCATATCAGACATTTAGGACCAGATTAAGCTATTTCACAGTTGAAATAGGAAAAAGTCGAGAAGCTAAATTACAGTAAGGCGAAATGTATTTTAATGGATACTGTGATGTAGCACTCATATGCAACAGGCACATAACATTGTCAAAGCTTTTTAAAATCCATAACGGCTCTGAAACAATAACAAAAAGGTTTGTCTACCCCTATACATGATTTACAGGTATGTACAGTTCAACATTCTCAAAAAGGTCCACAAACCCATGTTTCCAAACCAGTTTTCATCTTACCAAATGTGTTTATGTAGTTAAAAAAATGGGTAAAAAAAAGTATATTCTAAATGTTGTCATAAATAAACATTTACATGGAAGCTTTTTGAAGAACGATAAAATGCTAACAGCATATTCTGTTCCGTTGATGGTCTAACTGGGAAGCACCAGATGGGCATCAGCTTTAACAGTTTCAGCAGCGCTTTTTCTTCTGTTAGCATATAGCAGGTGCACACTGTGAGCTGGTCGCCTGCGGATTGTCTTTGCGCTCCGTCAGTTTGAGAATGACGACTCTCCTCTGGAGTGACTTAGCCTCTGGTGGCTGCTTGGGCTCAGGCGGCGCCAAGCTTTCGCTAATTAAGTCCTGGGGGTCCTCTGGCAAGTATCGCCTCTCGTCTGCCAGGTGCAACGGGTTGTGCTTATCTGACAGAGCGCCCCCGTCTGGACAGTGAAGGAGCAGTTTTTTCAGAACTGCACTGTGTCCGCTCTCGGCTGCCAGGTGGAATGGGCTCCGTTGGGCCCGCGTAAATTTTTGAGGATCGGCCCCTTCTTCTATTAACATCTTGACTGTGGCCAGGTGGCCTCGCTGGCAGGCCAAGTGAAGAGGAGTAAATCCTTGGCTGTTCTCGGCGTGGATATCCGCGTGGTGTTTGATCAGGAAGCGGGATGTGCTGGTGTGACCGGTTTCCGCTGCAACATGCAAGGGCGTGTTTAACTCCAAGGTTTTCATGTGAATGTCTGCCTTGAGTTCGATTAGGATTCGGGCCACTCGGTACTGCCCCCTCTGGCAAGCTAAATGCAGCGCCGCACGTCCGTCCGTCGTTTGGCCGTTGATGTCGGCACCCGCCTGCTTTACCAGTAGTTTCAGGATTCCCAGGTGACCCTGCCAGGCAGCCAAGTGCAGCGGCGTCCAATTGTCCTTGCCTTTGATCCGGACATTGGCGCCATATCTCAGCAGCACACGGACGACGTTCTCCTGGCCGTGCTGGCAGGCGATGTGAGCAGGCGTGCGTCCCTGACCGTCGGTCTCGTTGATGGCCGCCCCCCGTTCGAGCAGCAGGCGCGTCATGGGCTCGTCGCCATTCTGCGCCGCCCAGTGCAAAGCCGTGTACTGGTCCTCATCCTTGGCATTGACGTTGGTGCTCCGCCGGCTGAGCAGAAGTTCTGCTAGGGGCTTCAAGTGCTTCTCTGTGGCCATGTGGAGGGGGGTGGAGCCACGCGCATTGGCGAGGTTGGGATTGGCGTTATTCAGCAGAAGGAATTTGACGGCTTCCTCGTTGTCCAAGATGACAGCGTAATGGAGGAGGCTGCCTCCTCCGTCGAGCAGATGGTCAACATCCTGCGGCTGCAGGAGCTTCATCAGTTTTGCAATGTCCTTTGTTCTGATGGCGTCGCATAACTTCCTTTTGTGGACCTCACCGGAATCTAGTAGGAAGAAGAAGCCATTTAATACCCACGACACCACGAGACATTAACTTCTATTCTTCCGTGTTCAAGCTTTGACTTTTAGATGAACTTACCAATGGTGCTTTCCTTCTCAAAAGAGAGCGTTATAGAATCTTGCGAAGAGAAAGCTGAATCCGCGGAGGACATGCCAGACAGCCTCTTGCTAGTGTTTTCTTTGCTCTGGCAGCTGTCTTCCTTCAGTCGATCAAAGCTCCTCGAGATCCCCGAATCCACCTGGGTCAACAGCTCGGACAGACTGTAGTCTTTTTCGGGCAACATGGCCGAGATCGGACGCACTGGTTGCTTACTGTTTTTAACCTGTGGAGAGAATAGACCAGTTAGGGATTTGCGGACAAACTGTTCTTTGACACACATACATTCCATTCCATTCTGTGGTGGGTAAAGTGTGTGGCAAGTGTTTTAGTCCAATGCCACTTCTAGCACAATCGGAATGTGGAGGCAACTTTCAAAAGGGCCTTATAATGGAAACTGGACAGTCTAATTGAGATTTCTCATCCTGATATTATCAGCTAGGGTGGGTGAAGATCAAGAGCCACTTTCAAGTAGTAGCCGGAAAACACTGTCTGAAAGAATATCATGCAGAAACCGCTGCCTCCATGAGTGAAATTATTTTCATTATTATTATTATAAATCCTGAAATCATCCTCTCTCTCCTCTATAATTCCTGATCCTTGAAGTATGGAAAGTGTTTTAAGTAATGAAAATAAAAATGCTTGTTTCTTTTAACGTCCCTTGCTCAGTTAAAGACTAACCATGCCAAAATGACTAACCTTCAAATCCAAAACCCGATCATTTTAACAGACAGATAAATATTCATGAAGTCTGGTGCCGGGTCACCATGTTTATCTTGTCACAAAATCAACAGTGCGGATGTGACACACAGCAGACAGGCTTGAGCAATCCCATCAGTCAACATTCTTCTTTGGCCATGTCACAGTCGTTCTAATTAAATATTTACTCTGAAAATAACTCACCATGTAATAACAGTGTCTGGAACACATGCAGATAAACAGCCATGAAAATAAAAATGAAAAAGAAAAATATTCTTGAGGGTACCAACAGGTCGGAATATAGGAAAAGAGCAGTAGTCTTACTCGTCTTTTTCCATTCAGAAAATATAAATGACATGCAACTTATAAATGGACAAGTAAAAAAATATGTATGTATATATTTATATTGCACAAAATGGACAATCATGGAAAGAACAAGAGCACAGTCATTTCGATTACATGCCTGAAAAGTGAGAGCTTATTTAATCCCGCCCCTTCTCCATAATATCTTCATTACTAATTGTTATTCATATACCTCACCATTTTATGTTACGGTTTTCTTATTTACATATGCATATGTACATGCACTTCCATACATACACGCACAGACTTAACAAATACATGTACATACCTAGGCACAAATACAGTAAATACTATTTTTCTCATTATTGGGATGACCAAATGCATACTAATATTCATACATCAAAAAAGGAAATTTGGAGGAAAATAACAACTAAATAGCACTGTATCGGTCCCGAAAGCTGCCAGCTGACCGGGCATCTGCTCTGTATGCCAGAAGGCCAACTCCAGCCCTGATCATATCTACAATCCCGCATCCTCCACTTCCATGTGTGAAACTTTCCAATTATTTATAGCGACTGCTTCCTTCAAAGCACTGTTACTGTCCCCATAACCCTTTCATGCACCCTATAACTTGATAACATGACAAGCTGTCCACTGTAGGAACCGCTGTCCCTCAAAGGGTTAAACAAGGGAGTCAATATTTACCTGGCGGTGAGGGGAAAGACCGTCACAGGAAGTAGGCTCCGACTCTGGCAAGGTCGGAGTCTTGGGCTCGTCTTGAGGTTTGCAGCACAGAGCTTCAGCTTCGGATGTGATGTCTGGAAGAATCATCAATAGATTAGTCAACATTTAGGAACAACAGAGATGACATTGGGGATGACGGGGAAAGAAAATCAGTTTTATGCTACAGTTACTGTACGTGAAAAGTGTGTGTTGTACTTGAACTTTTTAAATTTAATTCTGTCTGCTGTCAGTGAAGAGTCCTTCTAAAAGATGGGCCGGACAACGTAAAGCAAAGTAGCAATTATTGGCTTTTTCCCACAGCGATTCACTCACATGATGAATGTGTGCGAGTGTTATTTATACCAATTACTGAACAATCTCAAGTGCTGAAAATGGCCTGCTCTCTTTGATGAAGGCATATTCATGTTTGCACAGTTTTGGAGTCTCCTAGAAGTAATGATTTTAGTGGTACGAGGCTTCTGCCTGACGCCAGCAATATATCAACCCTCTCAGGGACAGCGGTTAGTACAGTGGACAGCTTACCATGTTATCGGGTTATAGGGTGCATAAAAGGATTAAATAAAAATAGTAATAATAAAATATAATGAGGCATATTGTTACCACCAGTGCAGCATTAGTCAATAAGAAAAAAAAAGACAGTTTTGAAGGAAAAGCCGAAAAGTGAGGAGCAGATGAAAAAGAAAGCTTACCCTGGAAGCTGGGTCTGGCCTCAGGACTAGTTGCCCAGCAGCGTTGCATTAGGCTCAGGAAGCCTGTGCAGGTGGTAGGGTGACTACGCGGCACTGCCCCCAGATCCGGACGCACCCCTTTCACCACCTTCACCATGATCTGCAAGATGTTGTTCTCTCCTATGGGGAAAAGCGACCAAAGAAACAATGTCATCATTTTCTCCGTTTCCGAGTAACAATGTGTAGTTTCAAACAAAAATCACAGGTTGGAATCACAGATGTATATAATAAAAACCTAATAATTTATTTTCTTGAGCGCTTATCCTCATTTTAGTTGGGGGTGACCAGCTGACTGTGGCCAAGAAGCGGAGTTTCACACTGGACGAGTCGCCAACCAATCACAGGGCACATAAAAACAAACAACCATTTCCACTCAACTTTCATCTCGAAAACCCACACAAGGACAGGGAGAATATCAAAACTCCACACACACACAGCAGGGCCTGATCAAGAGATTTGACCCCAAAAACCTCAGACCAGGAGGCCAGCGTGCTGCTTTATCCAACAATAAAAGTCATTTCATTTCACTGAATTCAAACCGGTTTACAGGAAGCGTTGGTGCAAATAAAGAAGAGAGGAGCATTACATCTGTCGATGAGTAGCTACAGTGTGTACTGTTTCCCAGAAGGAAACAGAGCGACACGATCAAAGTTTCTGGCTTCTCTAATCGATTGTGGTAAAGCCAAAAGTAGGCCAGCGGCGCACTTTTTTATGTGGGCAGCAACCTGGCCACCATGTAAACAACTTTGTTCTTAGAGTCACCTGAACTGCATTGCTACCCGAGAGGACAAAATACACCTTATTTATCAGATGAACCCCGTCCACGGATGTTTGCTGGTATTTACTAGACAAACGTGCGCACACAAGCGCACATGTAGACACTATTAACCCCTTGAGGGACAGCGGTTATGACAGTGGACAGCTTACCATGTTATCGGGTTGCATGAAAGGATTAAGGCAAACATCGAACATAGTCGACAAGAATGGGGATAAAATATCAATCTACAAATGGAATAAGTGAATGTGATTGTGGTTTGCAAAGGGCTTCACTTATTGTCTCTGACTGTTGCGTTTATGTTATGGGCATAAAGTTCAACATAGGTTGAAATGAAATTTCATTCGAATACGATTGGAATTTGGCTATCGTTAGATTCGTGGCTGTATTCTGTCTTTACGGCTTTTTTTTTTTAAATGAGATTTTCACTGTCGGGATACTTTTTGCTGTATTATTTCAATAATACTTTGGTCTTACCTTGATAGGGTTTCTTCTGAGTAAGGATGCCCCAGATGACAATGGAAAAACTGGAGAAAAAAAAACAGAAGTATCGGTTTTACATTACATTGTTTCCTCACAGAATTCTGTACAATTAGAGGCTTAAAAAAAAAAAAAAAATCCAACCTGTATATGTCATGTTTGGTGTCAGGCATTCGGTCTTTCTCAATGATGCTTTCAGGTGGCAGGTAGGCGATGGTGCCGCAGAAGCCGTCCCGACTTATGTCATCGGCGCGTGACAGACCGTTCCAGTGAGCCAGGCCAAAATCTGATATCTGAGACAGAGAGACAACACGGAGCCTTAAACGGAAGACCGTGACTAGTCATCTCGCAAGTTGACTACGTTTCCTTGCGCGGAGCGGCAGCAAAACTCCAGGGCCAAGTCACGGCATGCCGCAGAGGCAGGAGAGGCCCTTCGTCGTGGAGTGAGCACACCCACGCGCAGTCACACAAACACACGTACCCAGATAGAGTCACAGGGTGCTTTATACAGGAAACTAAAGGAATCCTGTAGGGACAAGCCTGGAAGAAGTGTTTACATGTAGCTATTACGGTTAAATTGATGGTTCCCACCTACTACATTCATTTCAGTTGAGCCGCTCCGAGTAAAACAACAAGTCTGTTAGGACTGAAGGCCGTCATTTTCAAACAGATAAACAGGAAAGACAAACCGGTACACTGCTGGAATGCTATTTCATAGAAAATACAACTGTGGCTTGTTGAGTGAGCTTTAAGGAAGGGTGAGATTACTGGGTACTTTTGTTGACAAAAATAACTTGTCTTAATCGTCAATTTCGTAATACAGTACCACCAAAGGCAGATCAGTGATTTATTTAAACCTTTGATTCCACTTTCATCTCAAATATCTCCAGGTGAACGGCAGCTAAAAAGTTTGATCAGCGCTCAAAACAAAAAATATATTCTGTGCAATGATGGAAAATAAGGGCTATGTAAATATGTTAGTAATTTCGTCAATGATTCATTCTTTGAAGCATCAATATTCATTTGTGAAATTACAATGCTTTGGGGAGGCCCGGTGGTCCAGTGGTTAGCGTGTCAACCTGACAGTGCAGAGGTCGTGGGTTCGATCCCAGCTCTGGCCTCCCTGTGTGGAGTTTAGATGTTCTCCCCCGTGCCTGCCTGGGTTTTCTCCGGGCACTCCGGTTTCCTCCCATATTCCAAAAACATGCTGATTGAACACTCTAAATCACAGGTGTCAAAGTCAAGGCCCGGGGGCCAGATCCGGCCCCCCACGTCATTTAATGTGGCCCGCGGGAGCAAATCATGTGTGCTGAAATCTGTATCGAAATGTCAAATTGTCATGGGTAATAAATAACGATGGGATTTTGCACCGGCCCGCCGAAGGAAGCCATAACTCTGAAGTGGCCCGCGACAAAAAATGAGTTTGACACCACTGCTCTAAATTGTCCCTAAGTGTGAGTGTGGGCGCAGATGGTTGTTTGTCTCTGTGTGCCCTGCGATTGGCTGGCAACCGGTTCAGGGTGTCCCCCGCCTACTGCCCGAAGACGGCTGGGATAGGGTCCAGCATGCCCCGTGACCCTTGTGAGGATAAAGCGGTTCAGAAAAAGGATGTGTGGATGGACAAGGCCTTAGTGAGGTTATGCAGTTGCCCAAAATAAAAATGCTTCATATAAACTAACCATGGCAACATATCCTATTATTTTATGCTTATATTAAATCAGTCTGACAGGGGCACCGCAACTTAGCCCATCAAAAAGGTTCACTCCTGGTGGTGGTTTGTTTTCTCATTAGAGCTTTTGTAGTTGTTTGTTAAATATAATTTTCCCATCAGTGTAAGTGGAAACAGACAAAAACACACCTTGACGTGGCAGTGTGCGTCCAGCAGGATGTTGGCAGGCTTCAGGTCCAAGTGGAGCAGCGGTGGCTCCATGCAGTGTAAGAAATTCATCCCAACAGCCGTCTCGTGGATGATCCGGAAGCGGAGCTCCCAGGGAAGCGGCTCCGTAGCCAGAAGGGTTTCCAGGGAGCCTCTCTCCATGTACTCCATGACCAGGCCCTGAGCATCCTCGCAGATCCCATACACAGGCAAAATGTAGCGGAACTTGGCTGCTTCCATTTTCTTGGCCTCTTCCAGCAGCTCTGATCGCTCCCTGAGCAAATAGAAGTGAAAAAAATACATTAAAAAAAAAAAATCACTTTTGAAAAGTTTCACTGGCCTGAGGGACTGCTTCAAAACAAACAAAACAGCAATGATTATCTCCATCTTAGAAAACATTAAGCAAATCTTTTGGAGGCTCATACTTTGCTCGCTGACCTGTAATATCTGACATCACTTCAGGCCCAACATCAAACTTCGGAAGCCTGCACGTCATGCTGACTGCACTGACAGTTATGGTAAATGTTTACTGCCATTAACCTTGGAGTCAAGGCCTTGTAGGCTTTAAGAATGTTTCTGAAATTAACCAGTGGGTGCAGGTGGATAAGGGCTGAAAAAATGAATTGAATTCAAATTGACTGCACAAGTACAGTAGAATACAATTTTTAAATCCCCCCCCCCCCCCCCCGCCTAAAAAAAAACAACAAAAAACAGCTCCATTTCGGTCGGTCATTATGCTTTATACAGTGTTTCAAAAAGTTCAATGCTTAAGAAGTGCACTCCACATGTTTACATAATCGATTCATGAAACATGAAAAGTTGAAGGGATAAAGCCAAAGATTTGTTTGCATGACTGTTGTAATCTGATTTACTGACTACATGTCTTTCATTATAATTCAGGCTTCATGTGCCTTTATTTCTTTAAGACCAAACTATTTTTGTACAATAAATCTGTTGTTTTTCTGTAAAACAGATTATTCCTTTGATGCACCCTGTAACCTGATAATATGATAAGCTGTCCACTCTAGTGACCTCTGTCCCTGAAAGAGTTAATTTATTGCTTGTGTTTGTTTTAATATGTGGGAAGGGGATCTTGAAAAATGAAAGCATATGAAATCGCAAGTGCAAGATGGAGTGGAGTAGAGCATTTAGTCCCCACCCCAAAATCATTCGGCCTTAATGTGGCTTGTGCTTTTCACTGTCCAGTGGCTCCGCTAAGGCCTCGAGGACATTCCAGATTAGATGAGCCTGGAATGCAGCAGGTGAGTGAGCGCTTGTTCTGCATTGCTCAACCTTTGCTCAGCTGCCGCTATCAGCCCATGCCACCCCCCCCCCCCTTGACATCACTGCTACACAACTGTGTGGGTCATTCACACACTCAAGACTACATATCTCAAGCCAAAGCGGTTTTCAAAATACAACCTTCTTAATGGGGCTGAGATAAAAGAAATTCTTGCGTTTTTGGAATGCGTGGGAAAGACCAAAGTAACCGAGTAGGATTTTTGCCTTTGGTAAAATGAAGGAAGCTCATGTTCAGTGCAATGTGTATCTTTTACACACACATACATACATATACATATATATATATATATATATATATATACATATATATGTGTGTGTGTGTGTGTGTATAATTTTTTAAAAATATATACCGGTAGTCACATGAGTCTCATGGTGATTTGCGTAGACTACATACCAAGAAAATTACAGCACTTCATTATTGTCTTGTGGTTTTTTTTTTAATCCACCAATGTGTCCTTAAAAAAAAAAACAATGCCATTAGTCATCGAGGCAGTCGTAATTGTCTCCAATTTATTTTGTTCACAACTATTTGCAAATGAAAAGTGTTTACCGGCAGGCATTCTTACTTCTAAAACTTGACTGCTACAATCCAATTTTGAATCGGACAGACCACAGGACTTTAAGTCCCAGGATTGTTCCCTTAAGATCGAAAATTATTATATAATTACATCTAAATATTATGAAATATTTTCTTTCCCTTAAGAAATAAATAAATTTAAAAAAAGTTACATACGCAACAGCTTGTTATGGAAACTCTGGGCATTAGCCTTTCGGTGAATCAGAGCACATCCATATTCCGAGGAAATTTGAGCGGTCTTCCAATTCAGAGACTGGTAATCTCTGCATTTCCAGTTTTTTGCAACACACCATGAGAACCAAAAGCAAAAGAAGTCAGACAATGGAAATTAAGTCAGGAATTTTAGTTCCACACATTTTGCTATTAATTGCTGCTCTGTATTAAATGTAAAATAATGAAAGAAAAAAAAAAGTAATGCAGACAGGAAAAAGTTACAGGAAATTTCCGCGAAAGAAATAAATACAATTTTATAATGTTGCGTAATAAACTGAAATTAACCCGTTCAGGGACAGCGGTTACTGCGGTGGACAGGTTATCATGTTATCAGGTTACAGGGTGCATGAAAGGGTGAAAGGGGGAAAAAAAAAACAAAACTTTTTTTTAAACAGTGTTGTTTTGTGCCCTACCACGTTACGTAAAAAAAAAAAAAAATGTGCGGACATGATATCAGAAGGTGCGCATCAACTCGTTGCGCAATCCTCCATGTAGCCAAATTGCAGCTCAGCAGCACCAAACAATGCCCCTGCACTATAAGAGCCAAGCCCGGTAGGACTGGTTTTACAGCTTCTATTATTGTCTACGCCGCACAGCGGCAGCCGGCAACTCAGGAATAACAAAAGGTGCTTTTTTGAGTTCTTGTGCGGGTCACCGAAGTCGCAGGGTGAAATGACGCGAAGATGCACTTTGGAGATGTTTAAGGGATGATAACATCTTGGCTTCGGGTTCATCACATCGCTTTGGAGTTTGGGGGAAGAGCGTCATTCCTTCTGTGCCTTGAAATTGTCGCTTCACTTTTAGCGATGTTTGGATAAGCAGTTGACGGATTGAAATTTGATGTTGTCACTTGGCCCAGAATGCATTGTACGATTTGGAAAGAGGACAGGTGTATATTTTAAGAAGTAATATTAATTATACGGTACATCATATTCCTGAAACCCAACAAACCGAAAGTGTTGATGTGTGGGAAGTTCCATTATTTCTACCTGCAGACTTCATGGCCTTGCATATGATACATCTTGGATGGGTGTTGGTGTCTTTTCAACATCAATTTATTTATTGATTACCTATTTCTATGGCAGAGGAGATTGGCTCAAAATGTTCTGAACTCCTATTTCCACGCCAGTGCAGTATGAAGGAGAATAATTGCAAGTTGTGTTTTCGTGGCCATAGTTCGCATCATGCCATCTTTCATTGGAGCGCAAACTGGGTTATAAAACAGAATAACCAGTTGCCCCTGGTTGCTTTAAGATGTAAATTCAACACCATTGAAAGGACATTTTGCAAGCAATGAATATGCCTATAATTCTTATTGACATACTCCACATTGTTGTGGTAAATTTGGGCAGGGGTTGTATAAGTGAGTGCATCTTTGGGTTGTATAAGCGAGTGCATCTTTGCAAATGCGTATTCATTTCAAAACACCTCCTCCTTTGGGTGAGTGGCTGATTAGATCAGTGTTAATTGGAGGCAAATTAGCATTTCTATGATGTATTGGTTTCGCAACTGCGATCAGGGAAGCCCCACGGTAGAAAGTCAGCGTGCGAGTGGTACACATGCAACACAGGCCAATGTACTAAAAATGCAAAGGGAGCCAAAGTTAAAACTTGCATTACTAAAAATATTGCCATGCATGACATTGTCACCAAATGATAGACTTGATGAGATGCGAGGATGGATTTTTTTTTTAATCCAACTCGAATCAACATCGCAATGTAGCAGAATGCAATTTTCAAATCACAAATCAGTGCAATTTTGGGGGGGAAACTGGCTTCATTTCGGTCAGTTGGTAGGATTGTTTTTTTTAACCTGAATATTTATGAATTTATTTATTTAGTCTCTAGATTGGTTCGGAGCTTTTAAAAAAAACACAGTCCACATGTTTACATTGTTTCACGGAACAAGAAAAGTCGAAGTCATAAAGCTGCAGATTTGATTGCATGATCAGACTTATGACTTCCTGACTTCAGTTTATGCCGCGCTTGATTGGTAGAATTGTACGAAGTTGTTGGAATGAAAACCGAAAACAACTTTTGCTGAATTAAACGCTCTTTCATATTAATACATGGTCCAATTGCCTTTTTTAGCATCAGCCCAACCCATAAAACACAAAATATTTATGTGCAATAAATTTCATGTTGTTTATTGTAATACAGAAACATTAACGGCTTATGTTTGCTTTAAAAAAATACAAGCTATGAGGACCTTGGAAAAAAAAAAGCACATGTTAAATCTCAATCACAATGTTGAGGAACAACAAAATCACAATTTGATTATTTTTGAAAATCGTAATCCGAACCAATTGCAGAAATGAGCTTGCTTGACATCATTCCAATGTTTAAGGGACTTACTTGTCATCCACATGAAGGCAAGGAGGGCACTTGATAGCGAGCCATGTTTTCCACTGAACATGCCGTACTTTGTATACTTGTCCAAATCCACCTGAGCCAATTTTCTCCCAGCCGGAGAACTCAGACGAATCAAAGGTCCGAAGCAGTCCCATATTCCCATGCGGTGAATCGGGAACGTCCATACCCGTGCTGGCAAACCAACTGGAAGGCTCAGATCCTCTTTTCTCCCCCCCGCACAAAGTGTTAAGAGTGATCACGCACACACACACACACCAACTGAATTACTTGTGAGAACTTCCTTGTTTTTTCTTCTTGTCTAGCCAAGCCTGGCCCCTCCTTCTCTCCAGGTGTACAGGGGGTTGACCCTTGCTGCTGTGACATCATTTCCTGCTTTGACGATCCACCATGAGAGGCCACAGGCCCCTGTGCTGCCACTTTATCGTCCGGTCCAGATATTCTCTCATTTCTGGTGGGGAAAATTGAGAATATAGTCAATAAAGCCAGGATTGTGTCATCTCACAATCATGATTTAGTGTCATTGTATTGCGGAATGTACTCAAGCACAGTAGCAGTGAGAATCAAGTTACTTTGTCAATGTTGATTCCGGTCAAATATGCCAGCCATGTGTGGCAAAAAAAACAAACAAAACAAAAACAAAAACAAAACAGTCCATGAGCATGACTAAACGATGATAACGCTGTCTGTTAAAAATAACATTCTGTTGACAATCCTTCCGATTTTTGCTTTGTTTTCTGTATTCATATTTCATGGCTTCCTCTAATTACATATTTTATGATTGTTGTGACTTTTATTTTATACTTTTAAGTTGATTATATTGGAATTAATGAATTTATGGCATCATTTTATGTTATTTTATTCCGCCGTAGATCATTCGTAGTATTTGTTTTTGCCAAGAAAAACACTTCAAATAGCCACATAGATTTTACAGTATTTCAATGACTCCCAATCCTGATTTAACGGTGTCACAACAGCAATATTCACACACCAGCGAAATGAACATACAAAAATAAACTGGAAAAAAATACTATGCACACACACACACACACACACACGCGTTGCTCAAATGGTTCCATATTTTACTTCAACGCACATAAGGTATGTATAATGGCTTCTGACCTTTTCTGTCCTGCGACTGACTGGCAACCAGTTCAGGGTGTACCCCACCTACTGCCAGAAGACATCTAGGATAGGCTCCGGCGCCCGCGACCCTTGTGGATGAAAGCATTATTCACACACCAGCGAAATGAACATACAAAAATAAGCAACTGGAAAAAAATACTATGCACACAAACACACACACGCACACACGTTGCTCAAATGGTTCCATATTTCACTTCAACGCACATAAGGTATGTGTAATGGCGTCTGACCTTTTCTGTCCTGCGACTGACTGGCAACCAGTTCAGGGTGTACCCCACCTACTGCCAGAAGACATCTAGGATAGGCTCCGGCGCCCGCGACCCTTGTGGATGAAAGCATTAGAAAATGGCTGGACCTGTTGTTAATGTAAATGCGTTCACAGCTCACCCTCAAGCAAAAGACGTTCTATTTTTCGTCAAATGGTTCCATATTTTACTTCAACGCACATAAGGTATGTATAATGGCTTCTGACCTTTTCTGTCCTGCGACTGACTGGCAACCAGTTCAGGGTGTACCCCACCTACTGCCCGAAGACATCTGGGATAGGCTCCGCACGCCCGCGACCCTTGTGTGGATGAAAGGATTAGAAAATGGCTGGACCTGTTGTTAATGTAAATGCGTTCACAGCTCACCCTCCCTGTGGGACAATGGCACACCTGTTGAGCAAAAGACGTTCTATTTTCCATATCTCCTTGTATCTGCTTTGATGTTCCAAATGGGAAAAAATAAATATTGGCTGGTATATTTCAGGCAGCAAGGTCAACCACTTCCCACGCATATGACATAAAGTATTCCGTTATTTGTTTAAAAATAGATTTCGTCTTATGTAAGCGCAACTACGCAAGAAGTTTGATTCGAAATTATCTCTTAATTTTATTTTCCGAGCTGACGTTCTAAATTTGCATCGGGGCGTGTGCGGTTGTCTTCTCGGCTCGCTACTGCCACCAAGCGGGTGAAAAAAACACTCACTCCATCCTTCAGTTGTCTAAATAAAGGGATCGTTAGTGGAATTCAAAATAAAAACAATATGAATGAAACAGTATATTGCTATTTTTGTCACACTGAGTTCATTTCGGCAGGAGGCAATGCATTCTGGGAAAAATTGGCGAACGGAACCACGCCGGCCACAGTTGGCAACTACTCATTAAGGAATCCGATTGGTTGTTCAAGCAATCAACGCATCAATCCAATCCAAAATCTGTCACGTTTCAGTCCATCAATTTGGAAACACTCACTCCATCCTTCAGTTGTCTAAATAAAGCGATCGTTAGTGGAATTCATCATAAAAACAACATGAATGAAACAATATATTGCTATTTTTGTCACACTGAGTTCATTTCGGCAGGAGGCAATGCATTCTGGGATAAATTGGCGAACGGAACCACGCCGGCCACAGTTGCCAACTACTGATTAAGGAACCCGATTGGTTGTTCAAGCAGTCAACGCATCAATCCATTTTCCAAAATCTGTCACGTTTCAGTCCATCAAATTGGTCAGATACTGTGACAAGTGCGTATGAACGAAAGACGTTCTTAATAAAAGATTGAAGTAATTTGAACTAAAACGGTGTGCTTGACATCCTCTTTTTCTTTCACAGACAAGCAAAGACAAAGTCACACAAATGCAACAGAACGAATGACTCATGATCGTGATCACATGACTAAAAAAATAAAAAATAAATCTTCTTGCGCTTCCATCTTGATAACATGAATGACTCATGATCGTGATCACATGACTAAAAAAAATTTAAATAAATCTGTTCTTGCGCTTCCATCTTGATAACAAGCACATTTCAATGGCTGGTGAAGGATTTAAATGAAGCATTAAAAAATACTTAAGAGTTTTTTTTCCAAACAAGATTTACTATTTTAACACTTTGATTTTTCTGAAAAAAAAATCACTAGAATGGCACTAGAGAGGCATCTGGGTGACAATGATTCAAAACTATATACATTTTATAAAATTTACAATGACAAATGTTTGTACATGCAACCGCTTGAGGTGACCAGCGCCTCATTAGTAGCTAAACATCTGCTGTGTGGCGCCGCTTTGCTGCTGTGGTGTGGGCGGCTGACTCGGGCCTGACTGCGCTCCCTCGGGCCCCTGACGCTGGACCCCGTGAACCTCCCCCTGGGCGCCTTCAACCACAGGGGTGCCTTGGCCGCCCTCGGCTGTCGGTGATGGCCTCCAGGCTAGAGTCTGGGCTTCAAGCTGGTGACTCATGGGGTTGACTAGAGTGGCAAGGTTGATGAAATGTGAAACCGACTGGGCGGACTGTCCTCCGGGTGGACCGACAGATTCTGGACCGAGATCGGCGGGCCTGTTGTGGAGCATGGCCGAGCCGCTGACCGTGTCGAAAGTGACAGTGAGGATCGAGTTGTCCAGCGACAGGGGCCGGTCGCCGGCTGTCAGGTGCCCGACGGCAACGGGCTGCAAGCTTGTGAACTGAGCTGGGGTTGGGCTGTTGATGGGCGTGACCGTGATGTTGCTTAGCCCCACTGAGTTGTTGGGGGAGGGGGCAGATGCGGCGTTGGGGTCGGTGAGAACCACCACCTGAAATGATTGCAAGGCGGGAATTACAGAAGCAACATTTCTTCTGCAGCAGCAAACAAAAAGCATTTCTTTGAACAGAAAGACTTGACTGTATTTGGCAACTACATGTACTGATATCCTCCAAGCGTGTACAAATACAGTTCTACACTACTGACACTCATTTAACTCATTCAGTACCAGCCAATTCTGGACCAACTCTGAAAAGACCTTTAAAACCGTCTTTGGGAGTGAATGAGTTAATTTATCCCCTGGAGATCACGAAAGGATTTTTCAAAAATGTCCATGCTTATTGATCTCTCGACTGTTGATCAGTCTGAAATGAACATTATCTCTGTCATGGTTCAGATCAGGGGATGTCGTTAATTTTTGTCAGCTGTGAGACTTTTCTGTGATTAGTGGAGATCGAAATACATTTGACTCGACGATTCAGGTGAATATGCAACCGTACCTGCTGGATACTCTGCACTGCAGAGCTCGTTTCTGTCTCCTCGCCAATGATTACAGTTTTGAATTCGGGCTGAGGTTCATGTCTGGGCTCTGTGAAATCAACGTAATCATCTGATCCGGAGAGTTCTGGCTCGGGCGTGACTCTTAGCTTCTTCTTGGCCTGGCGGGTAGGTCGGCTGGGTCTTTCCTGAGACAGGCTGTCTTTTTCTAACGTCAGGCTTGGCTAAGGGATTGTGAGGTAATTCATGACATTTCACCATATAACAAAAACACCCACACCCATAAAATATACAGCGACATGATGAAAAAAAAGATTAGCCGTGCTTGTGTATTTAGTGCATAAACCATAAGAAAAAGCTTTTTCAGGCTTCAAGCTAACCTGCGCAATGCTGACAGACGAGTCATTGATTGTCGGGGGTTCCTGAAACTCATCAAAGTCATCAATTCTCACGGGGACAACCTTGAAATACAAAAGGCAAACAAAAAGGAAGGTTAATGTGTAATTGCGTCACAAAGTCCAACCAAATAAGCGATGCTGCTCTCACCTCAGGGTGTTTGCGGCGCAGGTGTCGATTCATTGAGGCCCGCGTGGAAACCTTGGTGCCGCAGAGGTTACATGACTGGGCCTCCACCTTTTCATGGGTCAGGTGCACATGTTTCTGCAGCATGTACTCCGTCAGATACTTTTTATCGCAGGTGGCGCAAGTCCAGGTCTTTCCCACTGTTGAGAGAGGCAACATGAGAGAGGCTTGGCAAGGCGAGAAAGCAATCAGGCTTTATTTGTCCTGTAACGAACAGTAAAACCATCCATCCATCCATTTTATGATCCGCTTATCCTCACAAGGGTCGCGGGTGTGCTACTGGCTGTCTTTGAGCAGTAGGCGGGGTACTCCCTGAACTGGTAGCCAGCCAATTGAGAAATGACCATCCGCGCTGACACTCACACCTAGGGACAATTTAGAGTGTTCCGCTAACCTGCCCTGCATGTTTTTGGGAATGTGGGAGGTAATTGGAGTACCCGGAAAAAACCCACGCAGGCACGGGAGAACATGATAACTCCACACAGGAAGGCCGGAGCCGGAATCGAACCCTGGACCTTTGCAGTGTGAGGTCGGCGTGCTACCCAGTCAACCTCACAGTGCCGCCCAACGGTAAAACTACACAATAATAATAATAATAATAATAAAAAAGTATCCATTCATCTTTTACTGATACAGGTCAGGTCCGGTTGGGTCTCAGAGGACAGGAACCTAAGCAGGAAAGCCTAATTTTTCTCTACCCAGCGACTTCATCCTATACTTCTACGGTAGAAGTGTCAAACTCAAGGCCCGGGGGCCAGATCCGGCCCGTCACATCATTTTATGTGGCCCGCGGAAGCAAATCAAGCATGTCAACTTGCATGATGTTTGCTAAAATGTCGACCAAAATTTAAAATTCTCATGTGAAATAAATAAGAGACATATTGTAAGCATTTTCTTGTAACCAAACCCCTCATTACAGTAACTTAAACAAGTTGAATAAACCGCTATTATTGACTTTTTTGGTTTCGGTCATAACAGCCCTCCAAGGGAAACGGTAACTAAAATGTGGTTCATGACAAAAATGAGTTTGACACCACTGTTCTAGGGGGATGCGCCAAGGCATTCCTCGGCCATTCGGGTTACATAGTTGTCCAGCATGTCCTGGTTCTTGCCTGGGGCCTCCTTCCTCCCTGTAGGATGTGCCCAAAAGACCTCGCCAGGAAGGCATCACAACCAAATTCCTGAAGTTAAGAGACCTCATTCCTTGTTGCCTCTTCGGGATGTGCCCTGCCAGACCCCATGGGAGCAAGTCAGGCTACCGGGTAACCGCTACTGAGCCCCATCTCCAGGCGTTTGCCTGGGGCCTCCTTCCTCCCTGTAGGATGTGCCCAAAAGACCTCGCCAGGAAGGCATCACAACCAAATTCCTGAAGTTAAGAGACCTCATTCCTTGTTGCCTCTTCGGGATGTGCCCTGCCAGACCCCATGGGAGCAAGTCAGGCTACCGGGTAACCGCTACTGAGCCCCATCTCCAGGCGTTTTTAACCCTCGTGGGGTGCACGTACATTAAGTGTACATTTTCACGTGTTGCGTATGTTTCATCAAAGGGAAGTAATCGAAAGTTAAACACTTGGGAGCTCAAATTTCCCACAAGTTGTCAAGACATGTAGAAGTACAAAATGGCATTCCGGTGTCCTTTATATATTTTTTGCCAGGGATGTGTCCAAGGACCGGCAACCCGAGGCCAAGGCCAAGGCCAAGGCCAAGGACTTGCCTCCGAGGCCAAGGCCAAGGCCAAGGACTTGGAAAATTTTCCGAGGCAAGGCCAAGGCCAAGGACTTGAAAAATTTTCCGAGGCCAAGGCCAAGGACCAAGGACTTGCCTCCAAGGCCAAGGCCAAGGACCAAGGACTGATTTTGAAATTGAGGCCTAGCCGAGGACATGTATAAAACAATGCTATCATACCACTTGGCAGGTGTTCATGATTTGCAACACCCCTCCATCATAACCCCTTGCACTCCCTTACGCTTGAATGATGTGTTTTTATTCAAAGAGTAGAACAGTCAGGGCACGTGTTATTTATACTGAGAAAAAGAAATAAAATCATATGATATACATTTATGAATTAATGTTTTAGTGCAGTAGTTTCTTAATATGAAGTAAATCAACACTCAACAGGCATGACATGGCACGGAACACAAGTTGAGAAATGACTTTGCATAGAAGTCAATCACTGACTGCAGAAAAAGCGGTAATCT